TCATAGCTTGTATTTTTTTTATTAAGAGTTTTTCTTTATTTTCCTTATTCACTTATAAGTTATTTGACAATTCATTTGACATTTTTATCAAGGTTAAGTGAACAGATGTAAGCTTATTTATTTTAATTCTCGGAGAATCAATGGAACTGAATATCGCGTTTATTTGATGAAAATGTCTTGCTGAGCAAAAGGAAGCCATTTTCATCTAAATACAAGCGATATACTCAATATTTTTTGTCTAGAACTGATATTACATTTTCAGAAAATGTRACYACACAAACGCATATAGACGCAATGTACGCCGGGATGTATCAGTGATGGACTCGACGATTCGGCGGCCATTTCTTTAAATAAATTCTGAGGGTCAATTAGCYAATCAGAAACGAGCATTTTATGCATGTGTGATACTGGTCATTCAAAATCATTAGAGAGTTGATTCTTTTATATAACACCTTCATCAGGGATATACCTTTTAAATTTCTTTTTTTCCAAAAAAAAAAAAAAAACATTTTTGGGTTAGAGTGTAACAAGTGCAAAACGAAGATTAATGCTATAGATTTCACACTTCCAGTTTTTGCACTCTATAATAAGTATTAGTTTTAAATCAGTTTTATAAATGAAGCCAATTAATAAGCGAATATCACGTGATTGTCACGTGTCATCTCATGTTGAAGTATAATTGGGATATCCCAATCTGACCAATCGCTTTCACTAATTATTGTTCTATACTCAATATTGTCAATTTCAAATTTACAAATCGGACTCGCTGATGTGATTGGATCSTTTTGGTCACGTGTTTTAGTCACGTGACTACCACTTGGCCAGATTGATTTGATTATGTCTTGCAGCTTTTTAAGCTTACCATAGATTACGTTGCAATCATTTTATGATCATCTCCATCTTCAACACGACTATGTGTCATGCGCAGTACTATGACTTAAAATGTCTTGGAAATGATGTCATGCCTAGGCGTAATATGAAGGGTCGTCGTACCTTATATGGCAGCAGAGACAAGTCGCGCAGATAATTCCCATTAATTGTATGACAGCTATCCATATACCAAACCCACTAATAACGTGTAAATTATTGGACAAGTATTTCTTCACATATATGTAGCAACCTCGCCTGTAAATTTTTGTGGGGTCCTCGTCTACCCCCTCATTGCATTTAGAGTCTGATAGATCCTTACAGCAACTCTTAGGGACATTGTTTTTGTTCTGCTGACCCCAACGAGTCTTAAACCAATCTTTGTAACCATAATTACCACAGCATTTAAAGTCCCGGTGAATTTCGTCAATAGCCTTAGTAACGGCATCATGACCAGGCAATCGATATTCGTTCATAGTTTCTCGAATGTCTGATCGAAGGTTCTTTTCGATGCGCTCTCTGTAAACATAAGCTAGAGCAATCGCTGTGATTTCCAGGCAGAAAATTGCGATGACAAGCCCGAAGTAGGCACCTAGCATACATTGGTTTTCCTTTAAAGCCCCGCAGCAGGCAAGAAAGGCGACAATGACAGTCACGATTCCAATAACAATACAAAGAATGGGTGCTGTCTTGTAGTTAATCGTCCCTGTTAACCTTCCATAGTCTCCAGCAACTTCATCTTTATTACTAAGAATCCATACACCAATACCAAAGATCGCTACTCCAGCAAGGAAAAACAGAAGATTGAAGAAAAACACCATGAATTTTATGCATCGGAAACCAATGTCTTTTGCCATAGTTACAAAGTGGACAGTGMTCCCTTGATTATGTTCATTTATCCATAGAGACAATCCTTTAAAACTATACCATAAGCTGTGGATTAAATGTTAAATTGCCGTTCCTTGAAATGCCGTTGTATCCTATATAATCTCTGATCCTTGACTTGAAAATAATAACAAAGAAGCCCAAGTCAGGGCCTTCCAGTTTCAGGCGACTGAAGTACGTCCTCTATCAACCAAACTTTGATTTCCGTTTTCTCTGCTTCTTGAAATTCAGTTAAAACTGAAAAAAGTTCCTTTGTCAGATTGGTTTTTCASTCCAAATGTAAACGAATCTTTCGTTGCAAAGTCCATTTAAATGTTAARTTTATCTGCAGAAATCCCGAGTTAAATTTCGAAGGCTTCTTTCGCTGCTTTTCCAAAATCTCACCTCAACTGACTTCAAAACGATATCTCAGCAAAAAAAAAATCAGTTTTTTCACTAAAATTGGTCAAAACGAATGTAAAATGTGTCGGAGAGTTAATGCATGAGTTAACAATAGTTCCTTTTCGTTGAATCGAGGTATTGAATTATTGATAATAAACTTTTTTGTTACGTGTTGTAGTAAGTTTTTGCCACCATACAAGACACTTCATTTGCTGACGGGTGCCTTCATTGATTAGCACTAGATATAAACAAAAAACGTCCCAAACACCGCTATTTGACTTATGACAAATACAAACAATCCTCACTAAATAACTGAGTGAACATCTAGTCAAAGCAAATGAACACGGAATATGAGAAAAAGAAGAACAGCGAGCTAGAGTCTCAGTCAGGCTACACGCTGACATGGTTCTGTGCTATGATCCGTAGTAATAATTGCTCTCTACAGCTCATTTTCACAGGACTGTCCGTTTATAAGTTAATTGGCTTTAAGCACGAAGTAAAAATAATGACCAATTGATGGACTTCTGTCAAAATAATTTTCTTGTAGAATATATTTGTGACGCTGATGGTTGGCTTAAGAATCTAGAAAAACTCTGATTTCACGGAGTTTTCCTCAGTTTCTTGCGATACAATAATGAAAATAAAAAGGCTCAGCGAACCATTCATGCTTTAATCTCATTACTGGACCGGGGAATCAATGAGATAAAGACGATTTCATTGACCCTCCAAATTTGTTATAGWGAATGGAAAATGAACATGAAAAAAACTTGAAATTTCCCTCCTCTTCTCATCTTTCCCCTCCCTTCTTGTGACTAGTTCCCAGTCTACTCTCATTTTCCATAACAACAAAATGGCGTCCAAGTTGTTTTCATTGGCAGCAATTTGGCTGAATATTTTATTCTTCTTCTTAGGTATAAACTRTATAAACTATTTTCTCACTATTAGGTTTTACTCTTTAATACATCATCGAGATTYTATATCTTTCAGAATTTCAWGCTTTTGGCGCCAAAAAGCTCAAATTTCACGAATTGACAGCCGKGCAGCTAACCTCACGACTCAAGAATTCTGCRTTCGAAGAAGCCCCAYTTTGTGTGGTATATAAAAGTTCTTCTGCACAAACGGAACTTGAGAAAACTTTGAGTGRATTTGCTTGGGAAAGTCCTTATAAGAAATGGACTTTTGCAAGAATTGATACAACAAAGGTGAAATTTGACTTGTTCGTGAACTTTCCATAACTATGCAAGTTTATTTTTGTAATATTCTCTCGTCTTTTTAGCATGTTATTCCTCCAGATACACATCCAGGAATACTTCCACTTTTACAGTGCTATACAGGACAGTCAAGTGACTTGCAGTACTGGCAACTTCGACCAACTGTTAAATCTCTGACAAAATGGCTTAAATCAGTAGTAAGTTAAGTCTCTGCTGTTTGGAAAGTGGGTCATAGTTTTACCAGTACTTAATGATATTTTGTTTGGTTGATATTTATACCAGGAAGTTGATTTAAATGGCACTTAGCATAAAGCTGAATCAATCCAGAAAACCCATATTGCCTTCTTTCGGTGATTGAGCATAATGCATATAGCTCCTCATTCGTTCCTTGTAGTGTGTACTGAGGTATGCAATGTAATCCAGGAGTTGCTAAGTCCAATATGGTTGTTCTTTTCGCAGCAAAAATCCTTTATGAAGAGGATATCAGCTGTGAACTCAGAGAGTATAGCGAAGCTTGTATTAGGACACCATGGTACCACAGTTGTTGGAATACCTGGATATTATTTCCAGGAATACCTGGAGGACTTACTAAACAAGGTACAATGTACATATTAATAGTGTCTCAGGCGTTGTTCCTTAACCCTGGTGTGAATACTGGTAAACCCTCATGTAGATTTTTCTGTTTGTTGTGTAACAGTGATTTACTCATTGTAGATTTCTTTGTTAATGCTGCTTGCTCATTAATTTTAGTCTTTTTTGTTCTTATTCAGATAAGAAAGAAATGGAAAAGTTCAGTTCAAGTTGCTATTGTACCATCGTCATCTGATGATGAAAGGTAAATACCATTATTGGGCTTCCTGTGTGAAAATCACAAAGATGTTTATTCCCAGATTGATGGATGGATGGATGAGGAGGCTTTGTATCAATTTTTGAATTAATAATCAACCAAAGTGAATGAATGAAAGAACAAATGATTAAATGAATAAAAAGAGTGAGAAGTGAATGGCTGAATGGCCAGAATTTTCCTTTTTTGACGAAGAAACAAATCATTATGGTAAACATTCATTTTTTGTCCCTTTTCCAATTTCAGCGAGATCTGTCAGTCTTTTGGTGTTCAGGAATTTCCTGCTCTCTTAATTTTTGATAGACAAGGTAATTGCATTATGCAATCCACATTTTAGTTTGTTTATGTAAGTCCTGTCAAGATTTATTTTCAATAAACTTGAAACTTAGCCATTGAATGTGCTGTTATTTTAGAATGGGATGAAAACCAACAACCAGGTGTTGTCTTACAAGGACAACTTAATGCTGGCTTTCAACAAGTCAAACTTGAACTTGCCATCAGAGACAGTCAATGTACAGTTCTAAACATGGTGAGTTACACAGCTGTATAGGTTCCTCTAGTAATGAGGATTTAATATTGATCGTTCTAAGAGAGTTTAGTATAAACACATTAATGGTCTATCACTCATACTGTGCTGTGATTGGCTACTCTACTTATAATTATGGTCTAATTTGTGATAGACTACTCACGGGAAAATCAAAATAAATAAATTATAAATTATTTTAAGGATATTTCAACTTGTTTTCATTATTTAACAGATTAGTAAGTTTATACTAAAACAATTAGACCTCTCGGCCTCGGGGACTACGAGCTAATAGCCCATTCGGCCTTCCAGACTCGGCCTCATGGGCTATTAGCTCGTAGTCCACGAGGCCGAGAGGTCTAATTGTTAAATATACAGCAAAATCAACTTCAAGTCTTCCTTGGAGCTCCCTTGCCATCTTGAAAGGTGTAATAACTATACCTTTGCATTAAATGCAAGATAACGACCAATTAAGTGTACAATTATAGAAATTGTCTTCTGCACCTATTGTTRATAAATCATAGTTTTCCATTCATACTTTCCACTGGTTTTCTCACTTWAATGCAATGGCTATAAAGATGTTGCTAGGATTGACAGAGTCTGCCATAACCAAGAGTATCATATAATATCATAGTAACTTTTCTGAGTTGAATTAATGATCTTCAATTTTCAAACCATTTCAGGGAAATTTTGAGAAAGAAGTGCTTGAGACAGAGATCCCAATGTCACCTATAGCTGTTACTTTTTATTCTCATAACAACTTAAGGTCAATATCTTACATGGATGATATATTAAAAACAACTGTAAAAGGGTTTGGAGCCATTGATGCTTCATTTCGGTTTGGTATGGTTAACTTGGCAAACAGTATACAAGGTGTGTTGAACATTTGAATGCTAATTCTTGTATTATTTCAACTTCTATATCTACAATGTTGTTATGTTTCAGTTATCAGACATGTCAATGCATCATTGGTCTCTTCTTTTCCATTCACTGTTGTTTTCTGGCAAGAAAAACAATCTGGTGAATCCAGTAAGTACATTAGCTATTCCAGAAAAGGTTGTTGGAGAAAATGGCTGTTGATACATTTCTAAGAAAGGTGATAAATGACRTGCTGTCTTAATGACTGTTGGGGTATAATGGGGAACTTTCTCTGGTTATGAATTCTTCATGTTATTCAAAATAATGAATGAGAATTTTATATGACATTTTGAAAACTTTCTTCAAAAGGACTTCAAAAGATCTTGTGCATCTACTGTACTTTGACTATAAAATGATTCAGATGTTTTCTTCATATAGATTATATAATAAAACAAGCAGCRCTAACCAAGGGAATCCCAACAGTAGAAACTCTGTATAATTTCCTTGTGTCACATGATGTGCCGTTATCACTAGATGAGGATACAGATTTGTCATGGCTTGAAAGAAAGGTGATTGCACAGTTTTAAGTTGTTCTTGTTTTGCACAGCTATCAAAAAGAGATGTCATTTACATTCATGAATAGCCCACTTGAAAACAACCTAACATCAATAGTGGTCACTTAAGTAATGTGGTTGGTTTACTGAGGTGGTCGATCTAGTGAGGTGGTCAATCTAGTGAGGTGGTCGATTTAGTGAGGTGATCGATCTAGTGAGGTGGTCGATTTAGTGAGGTGGTCACTCAATGTAGTTATTGATTTGTTTGTCAGGAGTTGACTTGTGGAACAACAGAACCAACTGACAATAAGTGTGAGATCAGCGATGGTAATATCACAAACAGTGACTTCATAACAAATGCCCAGGTGTTTGGTCCAGAGTTAGCACCGACTGGATGGACTGACTTTGAGGTACTAAAAACCTTATAGCAAGTATAATACATTATGTGTACTCCTTCAATTGTTTCTGGACTGTTGGTTGAAAGATTGTGTGAACCTGGTTAATTGTGTGAGTTGACTATATTCAAAGTTGACAATCATATTGACATGCATTTTATTGAT